TTTAACAAGTTCTTCAAGTGGTGACAAAGTGGTTTGACTTGAGATTCATCATCCATCTGCGGGGAGACTATGTGAACTGAACAAACCTTACTGTAAATGTTATCTGCTGTTATAATATTGCCGTTGTTGTAGTGCACACAGGGTCCAATAAATAGCCCACACGAACAAATCAGCTTTATGAGTCTGGATACCACTTCCTAAATGAACTTTAGGAATAATGTTGCTTAAATGAAGGCTCGGATTTCTAGATTTGCCGCTGTTTTGGTATTCGACCATTTAAAAAAAAGGAAACTAAAGGTGCAGACAGGGGTCAAGGGTCAAATCATGGGAGAAAGTCTTAAACATCTAATATTTGGTATTGTTAATTGTTAATTAATGTACAGATGCACATCTACGTTAGATTATTTAATTAAACCGCAGTTATTGACAAAATAAAATCACCATTTGATGAAACAAGCCATAATGTCACACATATTGTGGCATCAAACATTTGTGGTACTTAAAAGTGGCTTAAAGTGTCTGTGACTGTGGACTTCATGACTAAATGTTACCAATGGAATTCGTGCCTCATAACTGTAGGACAGGATACGATGAAATGTGTTAATCCCCTAATGGGAAACTAGTTTGCCACCATAAACAAAGACAAACAAAATACATTGACAAAGACATAGACACAATAAACACAATAAGTCATCAACACCACAGTTAACACCAGGCGGGGTCATTAAAGGGAAATTTATAGTTCCACTGCTGCAATTATAGTTGTCATAAAATTGCATTCACTTTGTCCATTAACATGCTGGAGGAACAGAAGACGTCCTCAACCTTCCAGTGGAGCATTTTGGCAATAGCAGCCGGTTGTGTCAATGTTTTTAGAAAAGGAAGAAATGCAGCTTTTTTTCAAATAAACAAAATATTGTGAAACCAGTATGACTAAGGCATTCGAGGAAACCATTCTAGGGAAATGGTCAACATTCTCACAGTTTTGCTAACAATGCTGCAACATAACACGCTAGCTGGACAGTGGGAAGTGTGCAGATCTTATCAGATGTTAAGTCACAGTGACAGTGCAATAACATGTATCAGCCATCAACACATTGATGCTGATTAACAGTTTGACACACAACGGCCGAAAGTGCGCAAGAGACACCCATGGGAACTTCGTGTAAGTTCAGTCGCACCCACAGTATACTTACTTTAGATGAAGCCAGAACAAGTTTACAGCCAAACCAAGGGAGAAAATCCCAAAGTTTAATTTGCTGGCAGACATCAGCACATCATGCGATAAGTCTAACACGTTTAATTTCCAACAACGTAGTCATACACTGTTGCGATCTTACTGGTTAACTTTAAAGAATGAGGCCCATAGTTTCAGTTGGAAAAATGGTTTCACTTTTTTATTTAAAGTAAATTATTATTTAGTTAATAGTCTTTGCACTATTTGTGGATTATGTATCTTCTTTCAGGGGCCTCTAGAAAGATATAGTGGGGGGGATGTCTACCTGAGCAGAGAATGAAGTCACTCTCCCTCTGTGTGTGATATTTTCCAAGCTTCTCGCATAGGCGTAGTGCCCACCCTGCAGTCCCCCCTTCATGATTTCCTTTTGCTGTCGTTTGCACTGTTAGCACCGCCAGCTCAGTTGCTGCCATGTTGAGAGCAGTTAGAGGCAATGGAAATGCTCGCTTTATATGGAGTTATGTTACAGTCCAAGTTTTCTAATTCGTGTCCCACAATCAGTAGATCTAATCTCGACCAGAAACCGAAGCCAGTCCACAGATTTCGTCATCGGTTAATTTCCTCTTTTTCAAGCCATGTCTGTGTGATTACATTCTAGATAATTCAGTGTAATAATACAAAGAAGCCCAGACTGAGATTGTTAATTGTGCTTTTATTCTTTATTTCAACATAATGATTGAATTTTCAAACATGAGAGATGAGGTAATCCAGAAATTATAATATTTACATCTTTTTAAATTCATTTTAGTTTTAGAGTTCAGCTGTGTCGGTACACCTCTTAAAAATTATTTATTTGACAAGGTATGATAATGTCAGTTTTGGTTTAAAAAGAAGAAAAAAATACGGTAGTGGATTCTGACAAGATGATGTAGTTTACTGTTCACCAAAAAATATATATAATATTACACAATACAAACTCTTGTCTTTCCATGGGTCTGCTAGTGGTTGAATACTTGACTTTCAATTCCCTAATTCCATCTAATAAAAATGCCCCATCAAGACAAAGTCACTGACCTCAGTTCAGGGTATATCTAGGGGCAGAATCATGGCTGTTCTTTTACTGGACTGGAAAAAGATTTGAGGCCCAAAACGCCAGCAGAAGCGTTGGTGCATGTGCAACAACTCCTTTTTGTTGCCCCAGTATCAAAGTGTTGCCCCAGAGCATAACTCTCAGAAAGTGAAGTTTTGATACAATTCAGACTTTTCTCTGATTGTGGTGTGTGCAAGTTCTGAGTAAGTAAAAAATTAAACACGCTTGATTTATTGGTGCACCCTTTATAAGTTGTCTGGACTTTATTGCATTAAATGACCATCGGCACTTCATTGTTGAACACATATATGCAACTGGTAGTTAATAAACGTCTGTGTTTTAATGGGAATAAGGGAAAAGGAGGAATTCCTGCCTTCTACTGTGCAGTACTGTCGCTTCTCAGTTAATCTATGCATTCTTGAGAGTAGCCCTTGTTTGTTTACACTAAGCCTTCTCGTGCTGTGTCATCATGACTATGTGCTGTATACGATACGCATCCTGATTTCAGAGCTACACTGGAGTTCAGTTCTTTTGAGATCATACAGCAGTAGATTGTGAAATATACACAGTTTCCAAGATAATAACATCATGTGTGGGTTCGGAAAAGAAAGCATATTAGTTGTACATTGTGTTAAATAATTAGAATTGGTGGGGAGTGTTATGCACTGCTGCCTCACAGCAAGGACATCCTGAATTTGAACTGCGACTTTTATTGCTCGATGTTCACATGGGTTTCCTCTGGGTGCTGTGGTTTTCTCACAGGTATTTTCCTGCCGCTGCCCTTGATCAAGGCACTGGCCTCAGATTTAGTCCCCGGGCAGCCACAACACTGTGGCTTCCAGATGCTCATAAATAGGGTATGTCAAGTGCAGAGTATAATGTACAAACTTTTCCCTTCGCATGACTTTACTAAAAATATCTAAGCAGCAGGGACCAAATACTTGTTTGCCTTCAGACCCTCATTGTGTTGGTGTAATGTCAGGACACAACTTTGCTCTGGACATATTATATGTCTTTGTGCTCATGTTCGCTGTAGCTTCATATTCAGTTTCTTATGCTGAAAATATGTGCTGTTTTTTTGTGTGGTTTTGACCCATGAAATGTATTGGTGTGCATCTGTCTATTGGTGATTGAATAAGTAAAAACGATGCATTGGTGGTTCTGTTGTCCCTGGTTCTGATCCATAAAGCCATAATCGTTGTTGCTCTTTGACAAAGCCATATGTATTTGTAATGTTTATACCATTGGTTCTTTGGTATATCGTGTTACATTGATCAGATACATGACGTCCTTGTTAAAGTCAAGGAAAACGTGTATTTCCCTCATTGGATGTGTCTTTCGGATAGAATCCATTAGAAACTCAGTGATTTATTATTACAAACTTAATCTGCTTTTACTATAGAGAAGCAGCAGGAGGCCATCTTAGGCCACCAATGGCACTTGGTAACTTAACTAATGGCACTCTAGCTACGAATGTACAAGAGAGTGTTTTTGAAATGTTGAAGAGGCCTCTCATCTGCGTGCCAAATCACCTCTTTCACAGCCATATGCAGTTGCGCAGCCTGTTTTTCAAGCAATCTGCTAAGACCCGCCCTCTGATTGGTTTGCACCCATTGCCTTCTTCACAGACTTTGTTAAGTTTATTGCTGATGAACAAGATTGGTGAAAGGTTGGTAGGGTTAGTGATTTCAACTAAGATGTGGGTGTTTTCATGAGGATGGCAGCCTTCTTGTATGTGCTCTCATAGATGGTTACAATCTGATTATGCATGAGATATATATACGGTATATATATATATATATTTTTTTTTTTCAACATGTTGCTATGCACCTTGCCTTTATGGATGGAATAAAACTACAGATCCAAAGGTGCATTTTGACGCATTGTCATAATCACGTTTATCTTCAATGCTGATATGGCACACTGATTAACAAGAACATTCAAGTATGGCTGATACAACTGCTTGTAGGCTGAGGCTCTTATCCATGACATACATGACCTACAAAATATTATACTAACTACTCCAGCTCAAGTTCAATTTGTAGTTTCTTACAAATGCAGTTCAAAGTTGTTTACATTGTGATGCAACATTAGAAGCACACAATGAACAAGATGTAGAAGCCCTACATTACACACAATGTAAGAAGTACTGTTTGCACTTTCTGTTTCCCAAGAAAACGATGGAACAATGTTACTTATCGTAAATCTGCGCTGAATGTGTGAATTCCACGCTATCAGCTTGTTTCCTCATGTTTCATTGTTGTCAAATGAGACAGCCTTGAGGCCAGTGTACGTTAGCATATTGTTATTATAATTTATTAGAAGGGAATGGTCCTCATGTATGCCTTTTTACTAATATTTTGATATACTTTTTTATATTTTAGTATTACTAAACTAGGTTTTGTCTTTAATTTGTCCCCTATCTACCCAAATCTCTGTAAGGTAATTGTGTTGAGATGTCATGACTGTTAAGGCAATAATACACAATTCACATCATTTGCATTTGAATTTATTCAGATTCTTTCATTTAAATAATACAAGTGAGAAATATTTTTGGCAAATTACAGTTTGAGGATTTAATTCAAATGACATTATTTAAAATAAATGTAAAAAATATTTTAGCCCAGTGAGTCTATTCAATATTTTTTCACGATGAAGAACAAGAAGCATTTCTTTTCAGACAAAGTTTCAGAGTTGCTCTTTCAGATGGACCGTCATAGGCTCAGTTAAAAGCTCGCTCTCGGTCAAATGCACGTTCCAGCTCTTGCTGCTCTGCCAACGCCTCACGACGTCCTCCGGTAATGAGTCTGATGGGTGGAGAGAGGATTGAGAGAGTTCAGCTCAACAAAGTAACAACTAATGCAATAAGAGCAGTTGTTAAATTATACAAGTCCTTACCCATGGATGGTCTTGCCGACTAAATAAAACAGACAAGATAAAATAATATTATTCACATTTTTCTTAGTAGGACTGTTTAGTAAGTAATTCATCACAAAATATGGCATCATGAGCTTTCATTAACTCATTGGACACTTGCACATTGTTTATCTCCTACATTGGTGCTTGGTATTGGTGACATCTTTTGATTAGGTTATTTTCTATATT